GGTTGTTGTTGTTAATTCTATACATCCATTTGCTTATTTGCTTTTTTATATAGTTTCAGGCAGGCTCTTCCCAAACTATGTATTTGTCAATGTTATTGTGGCTTGTTAACATTTTATTTTTAATATTTTTTTATTTTTTTTTTATTTTATTTTTATTTTTTTTAAATAAAATGTTACGGCTACAGTATTTTTGCGCAGAACCCACGTCGAAATTTACAAAAAAGTGGTTAGTGCAAACCGAGTTTATTAATAAGCTAGTGGTAGGAAATTTGAAACATTTTTCTTAAATAAAATGTGAATCCTTTGAATCCTTATGCGTTTGGACACAACAACCGAAAATCGTTGTACATTAACTAAACCGGACCCAAGTTTCTCGATAAGGGGCAACAAATATTCTTTTTTGCTCGTTTATATAAAGCAGTGGATAAAAATATACGTATATGCGAAAGGCAAATTTATCTGTTTAAATGAACACCACCAATATTTCTTGCAAACACACATCGATTAACATCTTTTATTTCGCCTCCGACACAGAATTGTTTTCGTACAAAATTACGCAAACAAGCTTACTCGTTCATTTTTAAGCATGCCATTGTTACGAATTTCGAAAATTCGAAAATACGATTCGGATTGCAGCATACTATTTCTACGATTCGTAGCAAAATCCGAATACGAAAGAGTTGCAGAATAGGGGTGCAAGTCTTCCCGTTCGCTCAATTTAGTCCCAATGAAATATAGTTGTTTGGTGACCGAACGTCAATACTTTGTGTTCTCTGTCCGCTTATGGAACACTTTACCCCTAAAAATTATAAACATAAAGGGGACTTTGCGCTTTAGACAGGAATTGCTGCTTTATTTTGCAGAATATTGTTGAACGTTTTCTTTTCTTTTAATTTGATGTATTTATACCATCATCCATCTCTTTTATACCCTATTACTTAAACCTTACTACTACCGCTACTTTTGCCCCATGCCTTCTTCTTCTACCACTAGTATTATTAATTCCTAATTATAATAATAATTAATCTAAGTTTTACCTATGTAATCTAGTTTTAAGGTCAAACATTGTAAAAATAACTTATGGTTGTGTGTTTGACTTAATTAATTAAATAAATAAATAAATAAATAATGATAGCACAGGACAACACTGATTTTGGTGCGGCAAATGTTAAAGCTGTTTTTGATAGACTTTTTTGTGCGGATTACGAATCCGTAAGCATAAAGTTTCCATCAGCTCTAGATTTTGAGAAACACGAGGTCAGTGTCAAAAAATCGAGTTTTTGCAGTATTTGAGCAGTTCTAGCAAAAAAAAGCAAAAGGTAATAGAACCTTTCGCTTATGCTTAAATTAAAGCTAGAACTCTCGTCTACTGCCCCTGGAGTACCATCCCCGCACCTTGACTAAAAAAATACTGGAAAATTGTGCTAATGAAAATAATTTTTTAACAAAATCAGTTTTTGCTGTTCAATAAATGACCAAAAGTTACCTTGGGTCAAGGTGCAGGGATGATATTTTTAAGGATTGTAGGGAGTTCAAGCCTTAATTTAAGTCTAATAGCGTTTTCTTTTCTCGAAAATTTTATACACTTATTCTGCGTTGCGAAAGGGCTATCAAGATTTTATGTTCTTTTCTTAAAAGTAGACAACATATTAAAGGGGTATCGCATTATTCCACTTAATAAATAAATACTGGAAACTTGTGCTATTGAAAATAATTTTTTACCAAAATCAGTTTTTGCTGTTCAATAAATGACTATAAGTGACCTTAGGCTCAAGGTGAAGGCATTATATATTTATGGATCGTAGTCGGGAGTTCAAGCCTTAATTTAAGTCTAATAGGGGTTTCTTTTCTCGAAAAACTTATACACTTATTCTGCATTTCGAAAGGGCTATCAAGATATTATGTTCTTTTCCTAAAAGTAGACAACATATTAAAGGGGTATCGCATTCTTTTTGAAGTGAAACTTCTTAGGCGGCGGTATCGCAGAAATGGAGAGAAAAATTTTTAAAACTGAAAACGTTACATGAGTGAGAAGGAAGATATAGGTAGTATAGGGAAGGGGCAAAAACAAATAAAGCAACGCATGACGGGTACGAGTACCTATATATGTACATATATATGTATGTTTGAATGCACGTATGTATGTATACATATATATATGCCGCTACCAAGCAATATATGTATAAGGTTCATTCCTTATCTTTTTGGACTAAAATCTGAAAAGTGTCAAAATGCCAGAGCGTAAGCAAAATGCGCTCACTAAAAGAGAATAACAGGAAAAGTAAAGGAACGCAAAAAACCAAATTTTTAGTCCAAAGAATGGCAACAACAAAGCTAACATCAAATAAGAATGGAAATGTATGTACAAAACACATTCACACAAGCACAAGCACAATCAACACTTACTACATGAATTATTTTTTGCCTCCTTCCAATTTCAATTCACTTTTTCTACTTTTTAGATTATTCGCACTTCCGTTAATTTAAATTCAGTTGAGTTTGACACTTTTCAGGATTTTGCCAGAAAAAATTCTTCTGACTAAATCTGACTACTTCGGACTGATGAGAGTCACTCTCACTGAGTGTTGCTCTCTCATTTTAGCTGTCACTTCCGAGTTAAGGAACGCTTTTTGGACTAAATCTGACTACTTCGGACTTATTCTGACTATTTCTGTGAGATAAGGAACGCTCCTATAAATGATGCAAGCGTGCTTCGCGTTACTACATCCATTCGTACATATTTACATATGTTTGTATGGATATATTTACGATGAAGCAAACGGGTTTCGTTGTTGTACTGATGGGAATATGTATGTACTTATGGACAGCAATGTTTTCATATATGTACATAT